AAATGCAATAAAATAAATAAATGGGAAAAAAAAAAAGAAAGTAAAAAATACAGCTACCTACCATATGATCTAGCAATCTTATGTGTATATACCCACAATTACTGAAATCAGGATCTGGAAGAGGCATTGGCACTCTCACATTTGTTGCAGCTTTATTCACAATAGCTGAGGTATGTAAACAATCTGTCAATCAATAGATGAATTGATTCTTTTAAATGTGCTATATATAAAACATTGGTTAATGATGTAATATATTAGCTGAACCCAAAGTTGAAGTGAGTTCTAAAATTACACCAAGACCTTGGGGGAAAAAAAAGAAATGTAAAATAAATAAATAAATACAGTGCTATATATGCAACATAAATTTGTGGTCTGGCATGGCAGCTCACGCCTGTAATCCCAACACTTTGGGAAGCCAAAGTGGGTGGATCACCTCAGGTCAGGAGGTCTAGACCAGCCTGACTAATATGGTGAAACCGCATCTCTACTAAAACTACAAAAATTATCTGGGCGTGATGGCATGCACCTGTAACCCCAGCTACTCAGGAGGCTGAGACAGGAGAATCACTTGAACCCAGGAGGCAGAGGTTGCAGTGAGCTGAGATCCTGCCATTGCACTCCAGCCTGGGTGACAGAGCAAGACTCTGTCTAAAATAAAATAATAATAAATAAATAACCCTGTAAGTATTTATGCTAAGTAAAATAAACTGAACACAGAAATAAAAATAATGCATCATCTCTCTTATGTGTGAAATATGAAATAATCAAACATAAAAACAGATAGTAGAATGATGCTAACAGAGGGTTGGTGGAAAGGGAAATGGGAAGACTTTGGTCAAAAAGTACCAATTTTCAGTTATGCAAGATAAATGATTTCTGGAGAGCTAATGTATAGCATAAGCATACCCACCACAGTTAACATTGCTGGTACAGTTAAAATTTTTTAAGAGGGTAAACCTTAAGCGTTCTTGCCACACACACACAAAAATGAAAAAAAGAAATGGAAACGGTAACTATATGAGGTGATTCATACATTAATTAATTTGATTGCAGTGATTATTTCACAGTATATGCATATATCAAAATATCAAGTTGTTCAAGTTAAATATATACAATTTTCGTTAGTCAATTATATCTTAAAGCGGAAAATAATTTAAAAATTTTAAGTAAGCAAAAAACTTACGATATCTTTGTAAGTCCTCACATCCAAATACTACCACAGAGGGAATTAGGCATCAACACGTAGATTTCTGGGAATACAAATATTCAGTCTATATCATCCCACCCCTTACCTCTTAAAATTCATGTCTTTCTCATAGGCAAAAGAAATGCAGTCTATCCTGACTTCTCCAAGAGTCCTAACTCCCTCCACCATCAACTTTAACATATATAGTTTAAAGCTTCATCTAAATATCATCTAGAATAGATATGGGTGAAATTCAAGGTACAATGTATCTTGAAGCAAAATTTCTCTCCAGATGTCAATCTATGAAATCAAAAAAGTTATGTGCTTTCAGTGTAGTGATGGGATGGGCATAGAATAGACATTCCCATTTTGTAAAAAAAAGATTAGGGAAGAAGCAAGGGATAACAGGCTCTACACAAGTCTAAAACCTATAAAAGCAAACAATATGAGTTCCTAAAGCTCAATTATAATCCTCTTTGGCTCCATGTTCTGCCTTCCAGACTCACTGGGTGGTGCTTCTGCCTACAGGACTCACTGAGGTGGGGTTATGCCCCCACAAATATGAGTAGTCCTGCCTTCATGGCTGTGCTATATAGTAGTCCCACTCTTTGAAACCAAGGTAATCCTGTCACCCAAGTTCAACACTCTGGATTTGTGGCCAGGGTGGCAGCCTTAATCCAGAGATCATCTTTGGCATACTTCTTTTGTCCTCAAGAATAGCATACATTTTACAGCCAAATAGTTCTATAATCTGGTCCTATAGTATCTAAAATGTTATGATGGCCTTCTTTTGTTCTATCATGTCTTCAGGTCAAATTGGCAGTGTTTCTGCTGAGGTAGCTGGTTAAGACTGTGCTTCACACCCATACAGATCCCTTTATCAAATGGTTGTTGGGCAATTGCCATATGAATAGGCTACAATATGGATAAGTTGCATATGTATAGGTTGGCAAATTTATTTTTCTGCTCATTTTTGCTTAACAACTCCATCTTCAATGTTTCTTTCTTCTTACATTTTATTGTAATCAGTCAGGAGTAACTAAGCTGCTCCTTCAATACTTGGCTTAGAAATCTCAGCTAAATATCTACATTAATTTATTGCAAGTTCTATATTCTAGAAAACACTAGAACATGAATACAATTTAGCCACATTCTTTGCAGCTTTATAACAAGAATTACCTTTTCTCCTTTGTCTAATAACCTTTCTTCATTCCCATCTAAGACTTCATTACAATGACCTTCACCATTCATATTTTTACCAACATTCTATACATGACTGTTTATGTGTTCTCTATGAAGATGGAAGATTTTTCTCCAGGTTTCTATGTCCTGTCTGACACCCACCATAATTGCTTTTAATTGTTGATTCAGGCAAATATTGGCTTTATCTAGTATGTATTTCAGTACTGCTTCAGCCTTTACTTATTATCCAGTTCCAAAGCCACTTCCACATTTTTCCCATCCAGAGCACTTATTTTAGAACACAGCTTAGTATAGAAAAATGAAGATGATGCAAGCCATTATTTTGGAATTTATAAATGTTTGTGATAGAATGTCTCACTCATTCAAGATAACTTTGTTGTGAAGCTAAAAATCTAATTTGCTATTTAAACACTAATGAACAGACATTATAGAACCAAAGACTTCTCCTTAGCTAACAGCCTGTACTAAGAATATTTTTCTTAGTTCTGGT